GATATTCACCAGCAGAGCCCCCGCCGGGGTCCAGGGTAAGGGCCCCGGTGGGGTTCTGGGAAGGGGGTGGGGGCGCGATACCCACTGGGCGTTCTGACGATCTGAGCATTTTTAACCTGTTTTTTAGGGAGTGTTTATTGACAATATCAGGTACATAAACAAAAATATTTTTAATAAAGCCACGTACAATTATAGTTTCAATGTAGGCCTATGTTTAATTTGAGCACCCAAACTATGTACAAAAACATTCATTCTCAAACAAACAACAAATAAATAGGCTGCGGTGGTGAACCTTTCCTAACATTCGACACTCTTTCTACCCCTCCTGTTATACTCCTACACCCCGGTTCTTAATTAATTTGTTTAAAGGGCCAACATTTATTTTGAGTTGGGCTCACGGGCCAAAAGATAATATTTGAGTACCGGTAATTAAGCAAGTCGTTAAGTGTTTGGCAATTTCAAATTCTACTTTTTGTTACAATATATGGTAACAAATTCTGTAACTTTAAGCAAAGAATACGTACACAATTATCAATATTCTGTTCACATCCTAGTTGGTTAAAACAATAAAAAATTGCATTCGGTGGATAATAAACGTTAGTAACATTAACATTAAAAACATATATAATACGCATACTTTATAAAACATAAATTGACCTAATCTACATGATAAACAAATTAAATAACATTAATTAAATGAAATATATTTAATGATATAGGCGTATTTGCTACCATCAACCGTAACACATAATTTGAAATGAAAGTAGGAGTATCGTATAAGAGAATCACTAATGAGCATTTACCTCAAAAGTACTTTAGAAGTACATAAATAATACTTCCTCTACTTGCCAGAGTGTTTTTTGTGGATGCAGAGAAATATGGGTATATAGAACAAGTAGAAAATAGGTGTGATATCGAAATTCCAAAAGAGGAAACATGTTATAAAGATATCCTGTTTTCTTTCCTCTATTTCTTATGTAAAACCGGATTTAAACTATCAAAACGTTTATGTGTATTTAGGCTTCATCAATACTGTATTGCGAATGCATCAAAATCAATTGATTGAATAACGCTTTTGTATAACCGACACACCTTTTTAGTGTACAACGTCTACACAATAATTAATTGATATAGAGAAAACACAAAATAAAAAAAAATAATGTTCTCTCTCTTATAACGTATAATGAAAATAACCTGATGGGAAAAAAATCAATAGGATTTTGCATCGAAGGAACAATGCATCGAAAAATGGGGGGTGGGGGAAGGGAAAATAGCCTGGGGAATAACTCTCTGGTAGAAACAAATCTGTGGGGAAAACTAGCACCGTAATAGTGCTATATTCTGTAAAGTAAAGCCTCAAAGCACCTCGATTTTGAGTATACTAAATTTAAAAATCTTCCCAGGCTTTTCCAGATATAGCTAGAACTAACTTAATCTTTGGCGTTTTTTGATAGCAGATTATTTTTTTTAGATTTCAGTGGGTTAACCCAACTCAAAGACAAGCTTGCGTACAAACCTAACATGCACATTCACCTTCTATACAATAGGAGCCATGTTCTCACGCGATCTTCTTAAAATTAAAAATCAAAATTTAAAAGCAGATAGACATTTTGAAAACAAGGACAAAAAAAAAAAAAATTTCTCCCATATTACAGAAACTTCTTTTTGGATGAAGTTGAAACTAATACAAAAACAAATTCTTTTGTATTTAAAATAATTTTTTTTAAATGAATTAAGAAACATTAGAAAATTCAAGATTAAATACATTAAATATAACAAGCTTCTGTTCTTTAGTTAATATATATATATATATATATACCACCTATTAAGAACGATGGTCCTACACGTTTGGAGTCTATAGGAGGTCGGCCTTACTCCCCACCATAACCAGTTAACCATACCAATTAATTTTTAGTAACGCGTCAGTGAATTAAGTATTCACGTAAACACTGTACATACCTAGCCTGACTGCGTGCGTGTTTGATGACAACTGCAGTTTCAGTCACGTAATCAACAATTGGTTGTGACAATGAACGCGCAAGACCGCACGCGCCGCCAAAGCTTTCGTCGAATTGAATCTCAAACGAGATAACGAAAGCTCTCTAATGACTCAAGTCACTACATGATTGTTTTATATTTCTAATAAAACTTTTTTCTTCTAATTTTAAATATATTTTCCCTGAATTCGTGATTATTCGTCGTCATGAGTAGACTAGAAATGCGTGAAAAATTTAAGATCAGGCATGTGTTTCTGCCAAATACGTGTTACATCCAAAATCGCTTTGAAATCCGGGACCGTCCCGCAAGATGCGAGACGGTTGGTAATATGAGGTTAGCATGCCTTTTGTAAGCCAGGACCCAATAGTATTTTGTTACGTTTCTTCACAGAGAGGGGTTCGTCCGAACACCTTGAAACCCCCCCCCCGATCCGCCACTGCTACTCATTTTCTTAATATTGTATCCTCCATCCCTGAACTTTGTGAAGATTCCCGGCTCTTCTTCTTACTACGGACGTTTCGTCTCACTACTCTAATATAACATCCCCCACAACGAAGGCTTAAATGCTCTGTAATCTTCACAAACACGATTTTCCACCCGAACATATCCACGATATTAATAGCATTACCCATTTCATACTTACCCATAACAGTTTTGTTTTCAATAACGAGCACTTTTTCCAAGTTAAAGGTGCCTACAGCTATGGGAACCAAGATGGCGCCCAGCTATGTCAACATCTTCATGGCATTCTTGGAAGAGAAACTGTCTTCCAATCTCTGTTTTTCAATTTAAACCCGTTCATTATCATCGTTACATAGACGATATTTTCTTCGCCTGGAACCATGGGCTTGACAATCTTTTACTTTTTGAAAGACATGCTAACACATTTCATCCTCACATTGAATTCATACTTGACTACTCATTCCAGAACATCCCTTTCCTCGATGTATCCGTCTCTATCCAAAATGGTCACCTCACCACTTCAGTTTACGCTAAACCTACTGATAATCACTCATAGCCTATACCTTAATTTCTATAGCACTCATCCCCTCTCTTATCTTATAAATCTTATTTATAGCCAATGCCTTCGCCTCAAACGGATCTGTTCAGATGAGGCTGATTACACTGCCAATGTCGGTCTACTCATGGGATATTTCATTGACAGCGGTTACACTATTCAATCCACTCGTTCAATCCCACTTTTTGCTAGTTTGTTCATGTACCTTGTACAAGACCTGAGGATAGGTCGAAATATTGGTTTTCTCCAATAAATATATATGCAGGTTCAGATTTAAAACTATGAGTTCTAGCAACAGCTTGACAATGATTGTCCAGAATATCAGATACTGTATAATTGTATTGTAATTGGAATGTAGCAAGCATCTCTGTAATTCTTTGGAAAATATAAGTGTATTTAGGCTACAAAAGTTCCTAGATGCTTTTCCCCCTTTCAAAGGCCGTCTTTACGAAACACTTTTGAATTTTTTAATTGGACTTTCCTAACTACCTTTCTATTTCATTTTACAATAAATTTTATTCTTAACATAAACATTCTTCAAATAATTGCATCGAAAATATTCTTTTCAGGGACTTAAAATAAATATCCCATGGTAATTTTTAATATGATGGTTCAACTAATTGCATCGAAAATATTCTTTTCAGGGACTTAAAATAAATATCCCATGGTAATTTTTAATATGATGGTTATTCTATTTTTATAATTGCATTATGTATAGTAATAATAATAAAAAATTAATAATAATGATAATTAGAACATTAATTAATGTGTATATATAAAATTTATTATCCAGCTGAACTGAAATGTTCGGCTACTGGTTGATCAAGCTTAGATGTCTTGATAGCTGATTTATGTTAGGTCATACTCATACGAAGAATGTTTTTTGTTCCTCCAACATACTGTTTACGAGATAAATGAGGCAATTAATTGATTGCTTTATCCAAAATATGTGGGGACGAGTCCCTATCACCCACCAATCTATGCCCATGAGTGGTAAAATAGGAAGGGAGGAGTAACTGATGTATTCTAGCATGTAAATGGTGAAGTTCATCATTTTGATGGTATAGCATTTATTGCAAGTTCAAAATCTTTTCCTATTGAAACATGGCGGCTCCCAGTATTGCAGTTAAGTTTAGGCTTACATTTAACATATTTTACGTAAAATATTGTGCAATTATGCACCAACCTAAGTTCACAAACACATTGCCGACATTTTTATTGAAAAGCCACGTACCGGAAATGCTCCTTCTAAAATTAGTGATGGCATTATCATTTATCCCAAAAACCTGGAAAACCACCCAGCCCCTTGTAAAAACGTACGCCCAATATCAGTGTTAACTATTCTGAGAAAACTTGTAGCTATTTCCAGTATTAATCGTATCTGCAATCATCTAAATGAAATAATCCGTAACTCACAAGCAGCTTACAGGGCCGGACGAAGCACTCCGGAACATATATTTACGTTAAAGTTGAGAAGGCAATCACGTCTACGGAGTTTACGGAATCTAAGAGTAGCTGGGCGGCACCGTTAATGTTGAGCGCAGCCGTTTAAGGATTAAAAAAAAAATTTAATAAGCCCCCAAAAAAATATTCACTATTCAGTGGTTTATACTAGGCCTACTAACTACTAGTTGCCTGAGGAACGTTCTCAAAAAAAGAATTGTTACCACGGTATTCTTTGCATGTTCTGTACCTTAAATTGACCTCGGTCAAATGTTATTTATTTTTGCATTCGGAGCTAGCTCTTTTCGATAAATTACCTGATTCTCATCTGATGATTAATCGGAAACTTATCAGAGACGTTGCTTCCAAGGCGAAAAATAACAAAATGGCTGCTTTCTGATAATTATCAGATAAGTGATAAATGGGGTTACCAGCAGCATCCCCACCACCTAGGAGCGATAGAGGAATGGGTTTGCTCCTTTACAGCAGTCATCCGATCTGAAAATATATAAATTTCGTAAAATTACAGACAATGGTTTCAAAGAACATTTTGAACGGTTCCATGACTTTATTTCTGTAACTTAAATGAATTCCAATTATATTTTTTTTTATCTAATTGGTGTTGGTATAATTAATCCAGATTTTCCATCATTCATTCTACGACTAAGTCGTTTAGGCCTTCGTACATATTGGATTCCTCTCAGCCTCACCGTTCGTTCAATTTTAACAGCATCACCTTCAAATCCTAGGTAACGCAAGTAGATTTTAAACTTTTCTTCTTGAGCCTTTAAATATGCTTCTCCCTCTTCTTGGCTAAGACCTTTAAATTTCAACCCCTCTAAATATCGCTCCCATTTCTTTTGTTTTCTCTTACGGCGTTTCTGCTTAATTTGTCGCAGCTTAAATTTCATCTTTTTCCGCCATTTTTTGTACTGATGGTGATTCATCTTGCGTCTCCGTCTATGAATTTCATTGGTGATCCGGTTCTTTGCTTTCTTTTCCAACCTATTAATGCCTGGTAGTAAAGGGTACTTGTCAATTCCATCAGATACAATTCCAATTTGAGGACATTTATATATAGGTGTAGAAATCGGCTCAACAATGGCAGTAGGTACTTGAATATCAAGTTGCTTGCCAGGAAGCACTAATGTCAAAGTAGCTTTGAGTTCAGCAGGTGATAAACTCAACCTGGATAACAATTTATCTATTTCATCGAGCTTAACTGCATGACAAGTTTGCTGAAGTTTCCCTTGAAATTGGTTAGTAAATGGTAGTGATTGTGCATGGCAAGTACTTGTAACACAGTTGGTGATGTGAGATGTGACAGAGCTTGAGATGCACCGTACAAAAGCATTAGCTGCAAAACTTGTCCTTGCACCTGTAAAATAAAAAAATGTAAACATTTGAAAATAGAGCAGTGCATACCTCCGCCCTGTGCCTGGATACTGAACAATACACAGGCTATGTATATTCTTTTATACTCAAGAGAGTAAGTTCAGGGGGAAAAACAAATTTCTGTGACCTTGACCTTTGTTTCGAAAAAGTAATAATTTTTTTCTTAGATTTTGTGTAATCTTGACTAACAGACAGACCGAAGTGAATGCATAAACTCATAGGGGTTTTCAATTGTTTTAATGTTTTACAAAAAACCCCAAAAAACAAAAGGCATTATAAACATGTAAAGTAAGATAACTGAAAAGAACAAAAACATTAATTTTACAGATTTTTTTTTATTAAACTTTTTGTTCACAAATGACAATTTATATGGCTTTTTTTTTGTCTTTAGCTTAGGTATGTGCAATAAGAAGATGCAGGTGTACAGTATTTTCATTAAAGGCACTCCCTCCTTTCGAAGTGTCTGCGAAATCTATACTACTAAAATAACGTTATTCGTTTTGTGTTTTTCTCTGTCCACCAAATATCTCCTAAAGCAACGTTCCGCAAACTATGGTCCATTTTTGGAGGGCCGCGAAGCTGTATGGACATTGAAGAAAAAAATTATCAAAGAGACGTTTCATCATGGAAAAAGTTTTTAATAAAGCCGCTTCATCTTTACAGCGATAGCATCGCTTGCACACGCTGCTAAGTGCTAGATGATGCATGCTATTTGAGTTATAAGCGGTTTTTGTGTCTATGCCCCCTTGGGAGCTAGACACTATGTTATCGTCTACTATTAACCCTGTAAATTTGAGTAAATCTGGTATGGAGGAATGATGGGATGAGTCATAAGCTAAAGATAAAAATAAATATAAGACTTGTCCTAGAAAGATCACTACAGTAAACAACACCACACATTACTTGATAACCAAATGCCCATGTGGATACTTTATTACTAAACATAATACCTGAATAGTAAGGTAGTCTTTCAAAGTTGCAGAGTAACAGACAGTGATGGCACCAGGACCTGCCCGACGAAGGGTCTAAAGACCCCGACTGGGGGGGGGGGGGAGGATATGGGAGCGAATCGAGTCTCACTTGGCTTTGGGCCAGTGGGGGCCGCCTAGGGCCCCCGGTGGGCGTCCAAGTGGATTCGCGAATTTTTATTACTTATTTGATAGGCATCGAGCCCTCCAGCCCCCTCTGGCACCACCACTGGTAACAGAGTGTGCGTAAAAGTTTTTGGAAGAAGGAGAAAGCTATGATGTGTGTGGCTGAACCGTGTTTGGTTGAATCATGGTAGATGTTTGGTTGAATCATGGTAGAAAAAAAAAAACAATGTACAATTGTGGGGGGGGGGGCTTGAAACACAAATGTACGGTATTATTTATTTAATAAAATATTATTTAATTTGTATACAATGAAATTTTATCAATGAGAGAACAGATAATGTAAAAATATTGTATACATTTGAAGTCTTCATGATAAAAAGTTCTTGCCAGGATTTGGTATGTTGGTCCCTAGCGTGGCTTGACTGCTGGGCTGCAGCTTGGTGCCGAGAATCATAAATAGGCTGTGAAGTAAAAAGTTTGCGGAATGCTGTCCTAAAGTATTTAAAGTGTAATTATAATTTTCTCACATGTTGTAGCTACCACCAACGGGACGAACATTCACTGTTATTAGGACTCGATTTTGTTATTCTACATGTGTTTTTTGTCGAAATTAACACATTTTCTTGCTGATTACTTCCAAATCTCATAACTGTTGTGACGTCATTGTGCCACGGGCTCGATCTAATATGCATGTTACAGTTCCATGCACACATTCATAGCTATATATATTCAGAGGCAATACTACAACACCGCATTCAAACAACGAACATGTTAGAATTAACAGGTTATTACGGTATGTCGCACTTCCACATGCAAGAGGGTACTGTAGTCAGGTGTATTATCAAAATGGACAATTCGGCAGAAACACTCACGGAAAACATTATCTATACAAAGAGGTCCTTAAGAAAAAAATAATGACAAGTTAACTAAACATCCTCAACAATTGCATCCTCAGCTTCCCATAACATTTAACAAATGCCTCGCCAACTTTTTACACTCATTTAACACCGTGCGGAGCATGGGTATATGCTAGTAATTTTAATAAAAGTTTTTCACAGCGGTTGGCTCTAAGTAGTGGGGTACAAGAGGTATGGAGAGAATACAAGCTATTTCCCTATACCAATTAACAATACTGCTATTTCATCTCATTTTAATGTTGATATGAAACTGCTTTCAAAACCATGCAACTTATCTTCTTTTAGTGGTCATGATATTGTTCTTTCTTAAATTGAAATAATCACAACGTTCACATACTAGCGGGTAAGTGAGCGAATCCAGCGCATCTCTAGTTATTATAATTATTATTATTACTGTATATCATAATATTGATCTATACTACATATCCTCTAAAGACACCTCTATTGATTTTTTTTCTGACAATTTTTATGTTTTTATTATAAAATTTGTAAGGTTCTCCAAAATATTTTTTAGGTTTTTTGCTCAACGCCTTTTAAATTATATTGTTTGCTTTGTTTTTTGTTTTTTTTACATTTAATTAATAATTCTTTTTTTGTCTGTTGTTTTTATGTGTCTGATTTTTCTTACCGATGTCTGTTAATACATTTATTTTATAGTTACTCCATTCTGTTAGTCGAGAGTTACCCGCTGTTGGGTGTAATTTAAAATGAAATCAAAATTAAATAACAAACCTGACAGGCACCTTGATGCAATGGCCAACTTCAACATCCTAGGTTTAAAAAAAAATATAAGGTATGTACTGTAATTATTATGTAAAGTGACAATGTAACAAATTCAGTATGATATTGATTATAAAGCACATATTTATTATATTTTTAATATTATGTGTGTATATCGGTAGTGACTATCGGCACTGCCGCAGTGCCAATTTCGTATATATGCATTTAATATATACACACATATATATATATATATATATATATATATAGTATAAAGTACCTAATATGAAGTCTGTAGCATAGTCTAAATGGAGTGTACAATATATTATACATTCTGCTGTAGCTTTTGATGAATGTGTATTCACTTGTAAAGCCCATGTTTTTATTCAAACCTTTAGTATGGGTTTTTAGGTGGAGAATGAAACAGATTTGGTAGATTTGAAATTATTTTATAAAATAATAAATCGCATGTCATTACCATTATGGTTAGGGAAACTAAAATTAGCGACTTTACCATGTTCCAAATTTTCCAAAACAAAGTAGGGTATAAAACTGTATTGTACAGTAGATTAATAAATTATATATTATTAACTTATTCTGAAATAAATTGTATATTATGAACTAATTCCGAAAACAATTAACATGGAATATAAATATTGCACAAACTAACCAGGCATGGATCCAGGACCAGGACCTTTGCACAGAAGGAGTGGTCCTTGAAGTGGTGGATCCAAATTCAAAATGGGGAGGGGGAGAAAAGAGGAACCTTCACAGACAGATACCTCAGCCGCACTTTGGTTGGAGCTGAGGTAAGAAAAGATTATGTCGCCTCTAGATGGCCGGAAATGGCACTCTCAGATTTAAATATAATTTTCATATTTTTCTCCATCTAAAAATAATTTTGAAATATTTACGGAGGCCTGGGCCGGCTGGATTCCCCTTGAATCCACGACTGCATGGGGAAACCCCTAACGCTCAGGTGACATAGGGTTATAAAACAAATATTGCTAATTACGGCATTTCTAAAAAAGATAAATGAACAGATTATTGAGACTTCTTTAAAGGAAGTAAAAACAGACAGTGTAATTTTACTGTTGGCAAATTACACTGGCTACGTTTCTTTGTTGGCAAAATATAAGGTACAGTACACGGTACTGCCACTGAAATCAAACCAAATTAAATTTTAATTTAACTGTGTAAAGGTCTGGATCTGCGCCTGCTAACGAAATTGAGATTCCTAATTTAAATCACATTTAAATTTCCATTAAATTAATTAGAAATGCATTAAAATGCATTATTTGAATTTGTAATAATCATGCAATTTTGAATTATTATTCACTGCTCTGTCATTTTTAGCTTAAAGCCCCATTCCCGGCAAAATTTCAGTTTTTAAGAAAAATCTAATTTTTGTATAATGTTATAAAGATTTATAAATATAATACGGAATTGCTAGTTTAACTGAAGTTAGACATTCCTAAGAATGAAAAAAATGTAAAATAAGACTGAAATTTGATTTTTTGTGTTCCACACAAAAAATAAATGCGGATGAATTTTTCATGTTGATTTTGCGATAGGTCGTGAGAAGAAATATCGTAGGCGCCGAAAACATTAGCCTATCCAACGCTGCTAGGCTAGGCTAGGCCTAGCCTCACCTCGATTTAGGTTCTGTTATCACACATAAAAATGGCCGACATGATATTTTCCGTTGCTAGTATTGACACTTGTGAATATAATATTTCGTAGGAATTATTGCAAGTTTGTTAAAAAACTGATTCTGACTGAGATTTTGACTCAGCCTAACCGAACGACCGCATTGTGCGAGATGCGAAGTACAAAAACTAATCTTATTAGAGAGGGCGCACTTTATTGACTGTATAAAGTATACATTAAAGCGAGAGTATTCCACTAAATGCAACCTCTGAATTTGCCTAGTAACGATGAATTCGACGAGAAAATGGTAATATTTTATGAGAAATAGTCTGTATTTCTCATTTTTTTTATTCTTTTGCGCAAAACTAAAATTCATGCCAATATTTTTCCATGATTTATAATAATTGGAGTAATGCAAATGCACATTTTCTAAAAAAAGTCAGTTTTTAGTGAAATTTTGCCGGGAATGGGGCTTTAATTTCACTGTCTATTTTCATTTTCACCTCTACACTGTAAAAAACAGTTGGGACTTTACACCATTCCTTTGTGTACTTTGATTTCCTTTTTGGGAGTAATTCGGCTTTTTAATTTAATTTAATAACTAATTGTGTATATTAATAATGTGTAATTAAGGATTTTCTTTTTGATATTTAGTGTTTTTTTACAGCAGATTTTTAACACCTAAACTTTTAATAGAAAATTGTTTAGTTCTTTTGTAATCTTAATGTTAACAATTAATTAAGTTCAATGCCTCTTTTTAATATGTTTATGTTTTTATATTGTAATGCAAACAAATTCAGCCATTTGCTGACAATTGTAAATTATATACCAAAATAAATAAATAAAAATATCCAAGGCCTATTTATAATTGAGGCCGAGGCCAAGCTATTTTATGTACCAACAGTGCCAGAAGCAGCAGTCAGTTGCTATACCTAGCCTAACTCGCACTAGGCCCAGCCTAGGCTGTAATTTAAAGCTCCAACATTTTCATTTTTTTACTTATGAGTATAACAGGCATGAAAAAAAATTTACTAGACAGACCTGTATATGGGCCTGTCTGGATAAAGCTGCATTCACACTCGATCCGAAGCAAAATTTGTAGCATGTTTTTACCACCGATTTGATTTTCTTTTTTCTCTTTAGGCTAGACAGAATGTGTATGTGTTTTCCAGGTGACAGTTCAAGTAAATTATACAGAAATTTTAAAGACAGATTTAAGACCAAATTCATTTGTGTATTTTTAAAAAGCAAGTATTAATTCACCATTGAGGACGAGCTGTCTCTTATACACATCTAGATGTGTATAAGAGACAGCAGCTACTTAAGGTTGATATGAAATTTAAAGATGTATTTTCCCTTAACAAAAATTTTAAAAAAATAATTTTGAAATTGACCTAAAATTAACTCATTTTGTAGTAACATACAAATTACTGTATAAACTTTAGCACAGAAATTATTTAATTAAAAAATGTGTACCCTGATTTTTACACTGGATAATTATAATAAAGATAATAAAACACTTCCAGTGTTACTTTAGTTTTTTCGATGTAAAATGATGGGTAAACATGTGTTAAACCTGTCTCTTATACACATCTAGATGTGTATAAGAGACAGGTATTCACTTGTAAAGCCCATGTTTTTATTCAAACCTTTAGTATGGGTTTTTAGGCGGAGAATGAAACAGATTTGGTAGATTTGAAATTATTTTATAAAATAATAAATCGCATGTCATTACCATTATGGTTAGGGAAACTAAAATTAGCGACTTTACCATGTTCCAAATTTTCCAAAACAAAGTAGTGTATAAAACTGTATTGTACAGTAGATTAATAAATTATATATTATTAACTTATTCTGAAATAAATTGTATATTATGAACTAATTCCGAAAACAATTAACATGGAATATAAATATTGTACAAACTAACCAGGCATGGATCCAGGATTTTTCCTGACCTTTGCACAGAAGGAGTGGTCCTTGCAGTGGTGGATCCAAATTCAAAATGGGGAGGGGTAACAATTAGAATTTATATTTTTTCAACAGCAAATAACTTTTTAACTGCGATTTTTCATTTTTTGATGATTTTACATTACCTTAATACATTAGTTTTATATAAACAATTTCAGTAGATTTGTTCTTTTTCAACATTTTAATTATAACAACAACATGTGAGGGGTTGTTTGTCAATTACAATAATTGTGATATTCATATATTGAAACTGTTTGTACCATTTTATTCTTGTAATTTGAATAAATGATAAAATATATTAATAATATTTCAATGATCATTTAATAATTAATTGTGTATATTAATAATGTGTAATTAAGGATTTTCTTTTTGATATTTAGAATTTATATTTTTTTACAGCAGATTTTTAACACCTAAACTTCTAATAGAAAATTGTTTAGTTCTTTTGTAATCTTAATGTTAACAATTAAGTTCAATGCCTCTTTTTAATATGTTTATGTTTTTATATTGTAATGCAAACAAATCCAGCCATTTGCTTGATTGATTGTTTATAGCTATAGCTATACAAACAGAGTCAACGTATAATTGTTGTAAATGAACAAGATGACTTTTTAAACACTATTAAAGAAAAAATGAGTAAAAGGAACAGATCATCATACAGAATTTTGATAAGGAGTGGAATGTTTGGCTGGATGTAACTAGTGTTGTGGAAGTTCCGAATAGAACATTATTACGATGTCTACCAGTTGTTGATTATAATACAATCAATTCATCGTTTGTGAGTATGATAAATGATTCCTGTGGCTCTGATTTTCACATTGCTCTTAGATAGTCAGAGCACATGTTCTAGTGATCCAGCATCACAGTTAGATTCTGGTATGCAGAACACAATTTCTACAACATTGCTCCTAGATTCAAGTCTTGATGATGATAGTCCAATCACAAGCTCTGATGACTCTGCACTGGACAAAGACAATCAGAGCTTGGAGGAAGCCAGCAGTGGACGCCTGTCTTATCACCTCAAAGAAAAATTTTCCACCAACTATCCAATAAAGTAAAGATTTGAAGGAAGCGCTATACTACAAAAGACCTCTAAATTGGAGGCAAAGGAAAGAATTAAAAGACAATTTGTCAGAAGAAATTCTGAAATATACTTGTCTACCAAGTAGGCAGCAAAGAAAGTTGAAAGCACTTTAAAGCAAAATCATCCAAAAGAGAATGCTGAAGGTCCACCGTTAATGAAAGTGAGTACATTTTGTATTTTATCAACCTTAAGTAGCACAGCTACTTAAGGTTGATATGAAATTTAAAGATGTATTTTCCCTTAACAAAAATTTTAAAAAAATAATTTTGAAATTGACCTAAAATTAACTCATTTTGTAGTAACATACAAATTACTGTATAAACTTTAGCACAGAAATTATTTAATTAAAAAATGTGTACCCTGATTTTTACACTGGATAATTATAATAAAGATAATAAAACACTTCCAGTGTTACTTTAGTTTTTTCGATGTAAAATGATGGGTAAACATGTGTTAAACACACTAATTTCTATGTTCCAAGTTTTTATGTTACTACAAAATGCAGAGTAATTTAAAAAATAATTTTTGTGATTTTGTTTTGGCATATTTGCAAGGAACAATACATCTTTAAAGTAAAATACAGGAAATACACACATCCTCCCCAGTTATTTACTGGTTTTAACCCATGTATTTTAATTTAGTTTTTGTCAATAAAATATTTTGTTTATTGTACTTTATTTACAGGATGATTGCACACTGGAGTCATGATTCTGCTAAATCAGGAGAGCTCTTTGTTGCTATTGTTGGCAACATATTCCAACCCAAATGTTGTTATGTAATTGCTGAAAAGGAGATTTTAATGGCAAAAATTCTTTGACCAATGCAATGAGTTCAGTGATGGGCATATACTATGCTTGCAACTTGGAATTTCAGAAAAGAGTTATGGAAACCTTAGTCTTTATACGGAAATTTCTGTTGGATTTTAATGACAAAATGAAAATACCACAAAGAGTCATATTACTAGCTGAAAAACTAAAAAAGTAACTTTATAAAATGTTGTATGGTGAAAGGATGTACAATATTCTACTGTAAAAGTAAAAGTTCACAGGGTTAGACTACATGTCTTTTATTTTAAAGTTTATGGTTTCTTGAACATTGTTTATTTTAACCATATTATTTTTTAATTTATTGTGAAAAGAATAAATTTAATTTTTAATTTTAAAACAGAGTGGTCAAAAATTGATAAAGAAATGTCTCATGTAAAAAGAAGAACATTTTAGTTCAAGTTAGCACAGAGCCCTGTGCTAACTTGAAAATCGCCATATTTCGAGCTCTGTGACGTCATATATGTCCGACCGTATAAGGCTTCATTGAATTTTATATAACATTAGCAATGTAGTGGGAAGATCACTCCCAAATAGTTGAACTGTGCGCTCATTTGTTATTGATATGCAAAACAATTATGGCTATTGAGAATTATAAGCTTGAACAACAGTATACTGAAAAGGAAAGTAATGGTTTTATTGTTTAAAAGTCGATAAATGAAATTAAAAGCAAGGCATGTTGCGATGATAATAAAAGATCGGCCGCTGATCAAGTACCTACACCGCATGCGCAGTATGCTAGTTTGTTCTTTCGATCCGTTCTAAGCAGCTCCCTACAAACCTTGGACTGTTTGATCTTCTGAAGTATTTTGTTTTTAATCATCCTTATATTGATTATGTCATTTTATGAGGGTTATAGCTTTGAACCTGAATACAGAAATATAATAATATAGAATAAACAGGGGCTCAAAAATGCTCGGAACAGACAACAACATGTTTACTGACGACAAGGTTGTCCCGTCTCAAATTTACAAGCCATTTCTTCAGAAGAGAGGTTGGTTAATAGGTAGCCTATGGAAACTTACGTTTTTCGCTGAACTTGATCTATTTGTACAGCCGATAGCTGTAAAAAAACCATTTTGTTGAATTAAACAATCACGTAAACAATTTTTTTTTTTTGCTGATAGTGTCTTATTGTTTGATCGATCTTTATTCCCGCGACTACACTCGCGACAGCAGTCAGATGACAGTCTAGCCGACCTCGCTTGACCGTGTCACTGTTTCAGCCAATCAGCTTAGCATAATGGCTCAGCCAATCGGCGCGTCCCATAATAAACCGGGAAACACAAAATTTCGTTGGCCGTATATAACGTCATCAGCAAGCTGCCATTAGTTCAAAATGGTGATCTTCAATTGTTGTAAAATTAACGTTCAAATTTTATTTTCTCAGAAACAGTATATGTTACATGTTGATGCAATGTACTGAATGATTGATCAAATAAGCTAGTTTACACCAGTTAAATAATATATTTGGATAGGCTATCCCTTTAAGAAAGATAGATGAGAGGGGTCCAGAAGTTAATTCTTTTGACCATGATGACGTCATCAAAATGAAAAATGAAAGGACACATCTGAAAGAGAATTGTCTTAGCTATAACATACTCACAGGTGGGAGATGATCAATCAAGAATAAGCGAGATACGTTCAAAAGATTATAAAAATAACGTCATAAATAAAAATTCAGTTTTTTCTTAATTCAGATGGCAAATTGATGTCAGATCAGCCATAATGATCTATAAAATCATATCTACAACTCATGTGCTTTCAGAATATGAAAAATTAGGGGGTCACTTTTCTTCTAAAGGAGCTATAACTGATTAAAAATAGGCATGATTTTTAACAATATATTAATTTTGAGGCAAGCGTACACGCACGCATTAATGTTCGTTGAAGTGTGCTTGTGCGTAGCTCGCGGCAATTTTGAGATATCGTGCGAACAGAAAGGGGGAGAAAGAAAGAAGAAGGAACTAGATTTGAACTCGTCATTGAGGACGAGTTTGGTGATCTGCCGTACTTTGACCCTCAGGAAGCGTGCGTGGTGCTGATTGGAAAGTTTTATGTGCTAAAATATGTTCTAAATAGTTTTTTAAAAAAGTGTAATTTTGAGTATTTTAAAAGATTTACGCATGCGTACGCGCACGTCTTAATGCTTGTGAGAACGGTAATGGCACAAAAAGTTGACTGCTGATATAAATACAGTGTCAAAAACCCAAAATATGTAACAAAACGTAAATTTCCAGCTTCAGTACGTGCTGTGCGGGTGGAAATGAACGTACGGCGCGTAAATTATGGAAAGTTTTGGAATGCTGAAAATGACCTGAAATGTGCTTTAAATTATCTGAAAAGTGATATTCACAATTTTCAAATTTTAATGCACAAGTATGAGTACCTTATGACGTGCCTGAGGACAGTAGTGGCACACAAAATTAAACCTCGTCAAGCGTAATGAGTAGAAAATAATGACGTCATAAATAAAAATTCAGTTTATTTAAATTCAGATGGCAATATGACGTCACAATGTCCAATCAGCCATAATGATCTATAAAATCATATCTAGAACTCATTTACTTTTAGAATATGTAATAAAAATTGGGGGGGGGGCACCTTCCATCCTAAGGAGCTATAACTGATTAAAAATAGGCATAATTATAAGCATAATTATTGACGCAGGCATACTGTACGCGCACGTTAAGACGCGCTAACGAAAAATTAAGGTACCTGACATTCAACCTTGACCTGAAGTGTATGCCCATTTAATATGATTCAGAAATGATGAATGGTAAAGATGAATATGGAGTCTTCAATGTTTTGAGTAAGGAAAGATGAAGGGGGGGGGGGTCTGAAAAAATATTTATTCTGACCATGATGACATCATCAAGTACAGTAGAAGTCACATATATAAAAAAAGAATTGTCTCAGCTATAACATACTCAAAGTTGGAAGACGATCGACCAAGGATAAGCGAGATACGCTCATATGCGTATTTTCGAAAATGACGTCATCGATATTATACAGATTTATTGAATTTAGATGGCAATGTGATGAAGTCACAATGTCCGATCAGCCATTATGATCTATAAAATCATATTTACAACTCATCTGCTTTCAGAATATGTAATAAAAATTGGGGGTTACTGATCATGCAAAGGAGCTATAACTGATTAAAAATAGGCCTGATTTTAGCATATTTGCACTGTATTTACCTATGTTTAATGCATGCATAACGTACGGCATTGCTATTGGCCATAAGACGACTAAAAAGAATGGAAATTTGTGAAAACAATGTCTCAGGAACCCAAAATATGTAAAAAAAACATAATTTCTAGCTACATGCTGCGTACATAAAAATGTGCGTGCGCAGTGGAAAATGTCAAAAGATTTTGAAATGCTCAAAATGGCCTGAAACGTGCTCTAATTTAGTCAGAAAGTGATTTTGAGCATTTTAAAATTTTAACGTACACGTAAGTGCACGCTAAGATGTGCACGCTAAATATTTTGGTACTTGATATTCAACCTTGACCTGAAATTTATGCCCACTGAATATGATTGAGAAATTACAACTGGTTAGGATGATATGTTCAATAATGTAAAAATGCAAAGTAGCACGTAGATGACGTCACGCATG